TTCTTTATATTAGATTCTAGTTGTGTTGCAAAAATTACTGATTTTGGTACTTCTAGATTTACTAAAAGAAAAAATAATGATAAAGGTCTTGGAACACCAATTTATATAGCACCTGAATGTTATCAAGATAAATATTATAATGCTAGTGATGTTTTTTCTTTTGCTATTACTGCTTGGGAATTATTTTATGCTAAAGAACCATATAGAGAATGTAAATCTTTATTTGATATTAAAAATATTGTAATTAATGGTGGAAGATTAGAAATTGATGAAAAAATGCCTGAAAATCTTCAATCTCTTATTGTTAATTGTTGGAAACAAGAACCTAATGAAAGACCTAATTTCTTATCTATTTCTAAATCAATGATTGAAATATGTAAAGATGCAATTAATCATAAAGAATTTGATAAAGATGTTTCTAATAAAAGAATTGAACAAATAATTACAAAAAAGAAAGAAATAATAGAATCAATGATAGAAGAAGATACAGAATAATTATTGAGTTAAAAATGTTTTTTTTTTTGTTTTTTTTTTGTTTTAATAAAAATTTAATAGAACTTGAACAAATATTTTCATATTAAAGAAATTAAAATTTTAATGGAAATATTAGAAGAGATTGAAATCTTATCTGATTATTGTTTTTATTTAGAAGAATTATATGGAACAGCAGATCTCAACATAGCAGAAAATATTTTAGCTGTTATTAAAAAATGTCAAAGTAGAACAGAATTTATTCAAAAATTACAAAAAGTTATGAAATTTGAAGAATCTAATAAACTTGAAAGATTTTATGAAATATATGACCAAAGAAAATTATATCAAGAACTAAATGGAAAAGAAATTGGAAAATTAAGAAGTAAACGATTTAATGAAGAATATAAAAGAAGAAAAATTAATGAAGAAGAAGATATTAAAATAATAAGAAAAAAAGATAGAGGAAGAACAAATGAAAAGAGTTATGATAAAAAAAGAATAAGTTCAGAAGAAAGAAATGAAATGGAAAAATTAATTGCAGCAGGAATAATGAAACAATCAGATTTACCAATAGAAGAAATTTTAAAAGAAGAAATAACAGTAAAAGATGTTAAATTAAATGAAGAAGAACCAAGATTTCTTAAAGGGAAAATTAAAGAAATTAATAATTCAAAAATAAAAGAAGTAGAAAAACAACCAGAAGGACATTTACAAAGAAGTGCAATAATGGCAAATCAAATTGCAAAGAAAAGAAAAGATAAAAAAGAAAAGAAAGAAGAAGAAAAAATTGAAGGAATTGAAATTAAAGATAAAAAAAGAAAAAAAGAATTAGAAATAAATATTAAAGAAATTAAAGATATAAAAGAAATTATTAAAGAAATAGGAAATATAATACCAAAAGAAAAAGAAAAAAAAGAATGGGAACAAAGAGAAGAAAAAATAACAAAGGAATTTAAAAAAAGTAATGAAGAAAAAAGAAAAGAATTACC